GGGGGGGGGGGGGGGGGGGGGGGGGGAGGGGGCCCTGTCGGACAGAGAGAGATAAGTGCGTAGGGTAGTTGATGATCTTTTTTGCTGAGTGAGGAGGGGAGTCGGCCATTTTTTCGATCACTTCGCGGCAGATACTTCTTGAATGTTGCCAATTTCGGCAGAAAGCGGTGGCTTCTTGTTTCTGGGACCAGGGAACAGCCGCCAACGAATGCCGTTTCAATGATTGGCGTGGACGAGAGGAGCATGTGCTCTTTGATACACCCTTTGGCGAAAATGCATTAGGGGAACAGCCTTGCGCGGCAGACAACGTTGAGGCTTTGCGCACTCTTGACAATTTGGTTTTGCGGCATACTATCCCGAGAGTGAAGCGGCGAGGTCTTTCCTACCCTATATCGTGCTCCCGATCTCGTCGGGATAGCAGCATGAGACGTTTCGCTGTTAGTCGTCCTGCACACTTTGTGCGCTCCACAAACCGCGCGAAATGTCACCTTTCACGAGGATAACAATCTCTCCCCGCTCCACCCCGCCCGCGACCACTCCTCTTATGCCGTTCTTGCTCCAGGTAGCGGCCGGGTCCGTGGTACTCAGAAATTTACCCGCCCAGGTCGTGGCAGCAGGAGTGCCGGCGAAAATCATCGGTGTCGCCACAGAGGGAAAGCCATCGGAAACCGTGGACCAAAACCTCGAGCACGTACGGTACCACAGCAGGGGTGGAAACGGAAACGGCAAGCAGAATGGGAAAAGTGGCGGTTCAGGGACGGGTGGGGCGGGGGCACCCGAGGACTCGCGAACCGACCCGCGCCGAGGGACTTTGGGCATCCGAGGGATCGAAGCCAAGAAGCGCAGCTTCTTGTGATAAATGACAGAAATCGCTGTCGTTTTTCTGCCAAGCGGAGTACAATGTGTCGCTGTTGTTTGTGGGGTTAGGCGCCACAAAGTGTTTATTCGTTTTTGTTCCTTGGTTGTATTGTCGAAACTGGGGAAGGGTTCTTCAAGCGGAGAAGTGAAGAGGGGGGCATGCAGCAGCTACGACTGCCCTCAAGGACCTTGGCTCGCGCTGCATTCACCAGTCGTAGTGTGTATGCAAATTAGTATTTGGCATCTGCAAGGTCGCTCTTTCAAGTCATGTGGTAGTGAATCGGGAAAGGATACCCCTCCTCCCTCAGTTCACAGCCCAGCTTCGCCAGAAGCCACAACGTGTTGGGTCCTCAGGTACTGCTTTCTTGTCGCAGGAGGTGTTTGTGTTGTCTGTATCTGGGTGCAGGCTGGCCGCGGTAGGTCGATTGTCGTGTTGCTCATCGTGTACGCGGCTCAGCTTGCGGCATCTGTCGCCCCAGCTCTAAAACTCGCGAGAGGGGAGGATGTTGTGCATTTGGTTCAGAAGGTGGGCGGCATGTTTGTTACTTAGCTCGGTTGTAGCCGTGAGTGTACAGGGTAGAACTAGTCTCGGCAAGCTTGAGCTGAATATTGTAGTTTCCAGGCCCCCAGGTAAAATCTGGACGCGATTTTTGTATCTTGTCTCGCCGCCAGTCCTGCATGATGTCCGGAGGGTGAGTTTCATAAGGTGATGGCGCCATCCAGCGTGATGTATTCGTTCGTGTAGGTAGCTGGATGCAACAGGACAAGGATGGGCCGTGTTGCGTAGACTTATGACAAACAAATGTACCATGTAGTACCCGTCGGATCAGACGTAGCTGTTACAGCTAAAGAGGTTTTTGAAGCATGCATCTTGTGTTGTTTTGTGCATCAACCAGACCCATAATAACTCGGTGGTTTACAAGCCCAATGATGCCGCAGCTGCAGCCTCTGCAACATTAACCGCCGAAACTCCGATGCGCTGCAGAAATTCGATTGAAGTTTCCTTTGAGAAACCTCTTTGGCCTACCACACGCCCTTTGATTTTTTCTTTAGGCGGGTGTAGGAAGCGTCCTCCCTTATTTTAGTTTTTGTTTTATGTTGATCGGTTTCCGAGGGCTGTTTTCTCGAACGGTCGGTGCGATACCTGTTCTTTTCTTCCTATCATTTTGTTTTCTTTATCCGAGTGGTTTGTACCCTATTTTTATTTTGTTTCCCCGCGGCGTTGTATGTGCCGGGTTTTGAGATCACGGGCTCCCCCATGTTTTTGGGACTAAAGAGAGAGAACAACAGCAACAACAACAAACACCAGTTTGGTATGTTTGCGGATGATGTATGTATGTCGATCAACTGCGGACGGCGCTCATAGAATCACTTATATTTGGACTGCCGGTTTGGACGTGTAATATTTAAAACCTTTGTTACAGCCACACCAGAAAACCTACGAGACAGGCCTTAGACAGCTAGACAGACTAGAATCCAAAGCAGTACTGCTGTATGCGGTACTGCTGCACGATACAAAATACTTTTACGCCACACACGCGACTACATGTTTCGCCGCGCATAATCCGATTACAGGAGCGACAGGCCGCACAAATACATGGACAGCAGAGGAAACAAGTGTACGGCCTACACGACGAGCTATTTTCACGAGAGCCTCGTTTTTGTCTTGGTGAGAAACACGTCGGTGTGCTCGCTCTGGGGCACTCAGCCCTACGTAGGCCTCCGCGAGGCCCAATCCAACACAGAACAAGAGGCCGACGGGTGGGGTGGGGGCTCCGTGGGATTTGAAATTTGTATCTACATAATCGCGCCGCGCGCGGGCCGCTGATCAATCATTAACAGATTAACAGTCAGCAGTCCAAACACCAAACATCAAAGTACAACAGGGCGTACCCACAAGCAGCAGGGCGAGGCACGCAGCGAACATCTGCGCACCTCGTTCAGATCTTCTGAACTTCGCACCTCTGGGCAGGAGCGACGGATCAGAGTGTTATCCCATCAACCCCATCAAGCGTTCCAACGGGCAGGCACAGCAGCAGCACCAGGACACGCAAAGATGGCGGATAAAAAGTCGTTGTTTGCGGGTAGGACCGGTGACAAGACCGCCAAGCGCAGCAGTGCTCCTAAGAAACGGAGCGGGAACGTGATGCCGGCTGCTTCAGGCTCTGGGTGAGAACTAATTGTTGAGAGCATAGGCACGATTCTCGCACATCCAATTAGTGTACAAGTACGATCGATATCCGTTGTTCGGTCCTCCGCGGTAGTCTAGTCTGGAATACCGAGGGTTGTTTGTCTCCGTCGATGTTCAACCCTTGGGGCCCAACCCTTGTTGCTTTTCCTCCTCGCGGGCTTATCTCTCATTGTTGCAGAGAAAAGAAGGCCCCGCCGTCATTCGGAAGGAGCGGCTTTGGGAAGGGCGTGGCAGCCACCCAGCAGCGACGCGACGTGCAGGTGACAATCGCGTGCACGTGTTTCATACCCCGGGATTGAAGTGCAAGGGTATTCCTGCCTGCCGGACAACGTTCAGAGGGGTACATCGAGGCTGCGATGAAAGCTAAGCTCTCTGCTTTCTGTGTGTGTAGTGTGTATGTATCGCAGAGACGTAGATGTCGTAGAACTTCATGACCACGCGCATGTTGTGTGTGTCGTGTCATGTTTTTGTCGTTGGCGGAAGAGTCTGGTTACATGTACCTTCATCGATAAAACACTGCTGTGACGTCTCCGCGACCTTGGGGGGCGGTATCGCGAGCGTAGTGGGACGTGGCAGACACCGTCTGCCCGGATGCCCGCCCGGGTCTCCAGCCTTTCCTCGATTTTACCTCCGTTGAGGTTTCCGCGGAGGTAGAGGACTTATCGTCTCTTAGTATTCGTTGGGGCGCCGACGGCCAACCTTCGTAGCTTCGTTGACTAGTGGGTTGCTTACCCGCGCCAACAGATCAGCACCGGCGCAGGGGGCGCTCTCCTGCTGTGACAAAGAGCGAACGTATGAACCGGCATACCGAGCTGCCTTGATGAAGAAGTCACGGGTGGTCCTTGGGAGGAAGAGAGCCAAAAGCAGCAACACCATCAAACCCGAATCTGCGCTGGTGACGATGATATAAATGTATTTATTGCGTTAAAAGCGCGCGTTTGTTACTTCAATCTTTGCTTCGCAGCCGGGGTGGGGGGGTGGGTACGAAGCTGCATGTGTCCGCCTGCTGCTCGATAGGCTGGTGGAATCTAATGATTGGTACGCGCCACGCGCCTGTGTCGCCCAGGTCTGGTCGTTGCGTGCCCCTTTAGAATGATGCCGGCACACTTGCCTCTCCCGCGCGATTTGCCGTCGGTTTCCGCACCCACGTCTCTTATTCTAAATCTACTATCTGGTACTTGCACCTGCTCTCGACTGGTAGCCATGCAACGCTTTGTCCAGTCTAGGTTGCGGGGGTTGTCGGTTCAGGTATTCCCAACCCTTTTTTTCCTCGTCCGTTCGTCCCTGTTGACACATGTGGAAGGATCGATCGGCAAATAATCCGGGGCCATCTGCTCCTCTTCTTTTTGGCATTTTGGGTAGCTACAACAGCCTTCCCCTGATTATTGTTTTGCGCGATGGTTGGAGTATATGGTGTAGCTTGCTGCCTTGGCAAGCCTACGGCGGAGATGTTTGACCGCGTGCCGTGTTGGCGCTTCGTTGCTTGACACGTTCTTTCTTATATTAATCTTGTTTTCGATTGGCCACCCCCGTCGCTGGTTGTGTGTAAAATTTAATCTGAGTGCGGAATGTCGACGAGTTGCCGCAACTCCGCCACCGTTGTTGTTGCTGTTCTTTTTTTCGAATTTCCACACCGCTAGGCCGCGTCCCGAGTTGCACAAACAAGACAGACTTGCCTCGAGAGCTCATATGTATTTGTACCGCCGTGTAGATGTGAGTTTCATATGCATAGGCGTGCACAACAGTTTTCACTCGAGTTGTTCCTGACTCGTGCCACCTCTGGCCGCCAGTTGAGGGCACTCGACTCGTCATTTAGATTGCCATGCGGAAAATACTTTCTTCACGTCCCTTCTTCCCCTCGCTCCTCGACAAGCTTTTGCTTAGACATGGGTTGTAGTGAAGGGGGGGGTCTTTCTGGCGAGCAGGGCTAGACTCACCCTCAAGGGATGACCGAAACCTTCTTGCTGCTGCGCATATCCGCCGCGAGGCATGCGCGTGGTGGTGTAGTTGGGTCGGCACTGATGG